TTCCGGAGGACGTTTGTGTTGTTGTCAAAGATATGTGTTATCTTTCCCCATTTAGGTTTTCGAAAATTTCGGTCAGGGGCGTAAATAATGGCGGTGTCGACTACTGGGCCAGAAAAAGACATCTGTTCCAGTAGTCGACACTTGCTTTATTTTGAGTGTGTGCTACCTTCATACGGGCTTATTCCGACAACTAGGGCCCTTTGTCAACGTGAAATGTTGTTGGGATCGTGTGTCCTTAATTTTCTAGTTCGTAATACATCATGATGACATCAGTAAAGCACCAGGTGTCAATACTTTGCCGAATGCTAGAGCTTGCTTTCAGTGCCCCGGTTGTGTAAAGCATTTCTCTGCGAACGTGCCCTGGTTGCCCGAGAAAAGTGTCAGCAGACACAAGGGTCGAGGGGGGAGGGGGGGTTGGAACCCCAATTGCACCGACGCAGTCGCGCCAGTCCGGCCGGCTGGCCGCTAGGGTGGAGTGCAAAACTGGGATTGAACAAGGATACCTGGAATAAAGTACTTCAAGATATCCCAAGCTTGCGGCACAGTCCATTCTGACTCATTGTCTCACCTTCAACCCCTCTCTAAGGGTTCGAAGTTGGGTCATTGGTTTGGTCATTGAGGGAAATTGACACTTTTTACCCCCCTGGGCCGCCGTGGGCATAATCCCGGGAACGGCTATATGCGGTTCGGTGTGGAATTTAAATAGGGATATAACTCAGGTGTCGATACGCTGTGCGATAACATCTTCAGCTTGCCCACAAGACATTTTAGGGAACAAACTAAGGCTTAATTACGAAGCTATTGCCGGCACTTCCCGGTTTTCGTATGTCACATCGTGTCGTCCTATACATTATTAGGTGCGCTTTGACGCGACAGAACTGTTTCATTTTAGACTCATTGCACTAAGAAAATTATTTTCCGATATGTAGCCAAACACAACGTTCTTTAGAACTAGAAAAAAATGTTTTTCACCATATTTCAAAACAGGTCGCCTGAAGGCCGGAGAAGGTGAACAGCACCTCGCAAAGAGGGCCAAGAAGGACACCCTGATGGCCAAAAAGGCGACCGAGAGGCAGGGGAAGGCTAGCCAGGCTGCAGGGACCCATCAGACACGGCAATCCTGGTTAAATGACAGAGTGTCGACTACTGGGCCAGGCAGTGTCGACTACTGGGCCAAAGGTGTCGACTACTGGGCCAATGCACATTGTTTTTTGGTTTACATTTTTGGGTACAAAAATGTATTTATTTCCATTTTTGACCTATGGGGCATAAAGTTTGATCCTTCCACTACACCCCCAGAATTTTTCCTTGACGCTACCGTACACCCACGCTCCGTTGAAGCCAATTTTGAAAAGCCTTGCTCTTAAACTGTCGACTACTGGGCCCCTTACCCTAATTCATGTAAAACTATACTCCCTGGGTACTTTCAAAACAGGCGCCTTCACTGGCGACGTAGTTCGGTCACTCTCCGACCTGTTAATGAATTACACTCAGAAAAATGATTTCTTGTTTCAAATACATTTGTACTAGAAATGACCCAAGATTTTTTTTTCTTGTTACCAAGACGATTTTTTCTTTCAAGTAAGAAAAATTTTCTTAAACGGAAGGTAATATCATCTTGTGTCAAGAGTAAAATTGATCTTCGGTCAAAATGTTCTTGAAATAAGAAAACATTTTTCTGGGTGTACGGAGTTATTTCTCTTCATTTTGGATTCTCTTTCTCTTGGTAGCACCTTTTATAAATCTCTTCTTTTCTACTTATCGATGGGAGTAGGATTAATCCTACAAATTTGTCATCTAAAAATTTAGTATGGGGGGCGGATCCCGAATAGACACCCCCTCGGTAGTCGTGCTATTGCTAGCAGAGGCAGCGCTTACCACGATGGTTATAGTTATAAGTTCATGACATCTGCAACTTATAACTATAACCAAAAAAATGAATGATCGTTCCCACAGGTGGTTTTAAGCCCATCGGACGGTCAAACTATTCACTTTGAGCTGAAGGCCAACTCTGCACTCAGCTCTTAGTTGTTCCTCGTGGCCCAGCTCTTTTGGCAGGCACAGAGCGTTGTGGGCCGAGCATAGGGAGAACAGCGTGTCATGAGCACACTTGAGAGGTAGGGGTAATACGCAATATACCATGGCTGATTCACGCTGCGCACTGTAGGTACCCTGTACTGCACGCACGGGTGCAGGCGGGCTTGCCCCTGTCCACGGCGCCTTACGAGTCGAGCGGGTAGGCAACCCGCCTACACTCGTGCGTGCAGTACAGCATAACTTCAGAAGTGCGCGGCGTGAATCAGCAACTTGGTATAATTGAAGTACTTCCGACCAATTTTTCATTGCAAATTAAGCGGTCTTTGTTGTGGGTTATCATTAAAACGGGCCCGTAACTCATACAAAAGAAATTTGAAGTACCTAATGAGTTTATCTCTTAAATAAGGGAATATTCCAATTAGGGGCCGTGGAATATTCCACGGAATATTCCCAAATTCCCGGAATATTCCCGGGAATATTCCGGCACTCGGAACTATAAATTGCACGATACTGTGATGATCGTCTCAGGAAAAGTAACTTATTGCTTGTATTTGAGATGATCATCTCTTAATCGTGCGATACTTTAAGGCATCATAGTTTTATGCAATGTAGCAATGCGCGTCACACTGTCTTGCAATAAATCCGAATTCATCGCATTACTTTGCAATAAGTAAGGGAGGGTGGGGCAGTGTGTAACAGATTTAGGAATTTGGCTATAAAAGTCAATCCATCAAAAAAATGGGTAAATCGGGCGCCAAAGAATAGATGGGACCTTTACTTAACATGAAAGTTGCTCAGATGTATTACAAGGCGCATTCCCGTAAGACCTAGAGCTTGTTGGAAAGGGGTCTGCATGTGTTACACACTGCCCCGCGCCGGGGCATTGCGTAATGACAGTGGGGCAGTGTGTAACAAAGGCGAAGATTGAGCTCTGGAGACAGCTTGATAGGGAGAAAACAGCTTCCCCTTCCTTTCTATAATAGCTGTTGATAAAACAACAGTTTATATCAGCTAATTTTTTTGTTAAAATGGAATTTTCTTAAAATTTACTAGTTTTCAATTGAAAGGATCACATTGGTACAAATTATAGATATATTTTGTGAACTTGAAATATAAACAAAAATTTGGGCCTCAGTGAGACTGTTAGGGCACAGGCACATCAGTGATAAGCGAATAAGACGATGCGTACTGTCTAGACTACCCTAGACGTTCACGTTACACACTGTCCCAGGGTACACAGCCTGTTATGTGACCTCGTAGACCGAGAACCCTCGAAGTTGTGTTAGTGACAACGACCATTTTACATGTGCTAAGGTGTCCACTTCGATAGAAAATCATTAAATCGGGGGTTCTTTGTAACCCGACGACCTCATCTAAAAAGATCATGTCGTAATATGATGAAAATTGCTTAAAAATCGGGTGAGCCTTACTTGGCCGTCCTCTCACCACCGTTACAACTCTCCAACCAAGGCGTTCTCGATTGCAAACAACCGTAGTCATTCAGAACACATAATATGAACATTCACATTTGGTTCCGGACGTGCCATATTCGAAATACGGAGGTCTGTTACACACTGCCCCTGTTACACACTGCCCCACTCTCCCTTACTATACAAAATTTGCAATGAAAATTGTATCTATATACCGTAATTGAAAGTGTGATTATTACTTTTCACACATTTTCGTTTAATGAAATGCCCTGTGTGATTCCCAAGATTCAGCACTCCTGGAGGAGCGATGAATTTTTATCACAAATTTTATGTAATGCTTATTGCAAAATAATGCCATGATTCCGGATCTATTACAAGACATTGTGATGCACATTGAACAAATCTATGATACCTTACCAATGTATCGCTCAAATAAGTGATGGTCATCACAAATACAGGTAATGAATTTAATGTTGTACTTTTTCTGCGATGATCATCACATCATCGTGTAATAATTTTGCATCACAGATAACGTGCAGTCAGTATCACACTCTAATTTACAGTGTACCCAGGAGTAGGGTAGTCCAAAATAAGCTTGTTGTTGAAATGTTGGGGGGCATGTTGATCATAGGGTGTCGTTTTGTGAAAAAAAAATTAAAAAAAATGTCTGCCCAAAATCGGATAGTATTTGACCCCCCCGAAGGGGGCCTAAACCCCCCTTAATAGCCCCCATTTTCAAACTTAAAATTTTTGTTCAAAATATTTTTTC